GACCCCGAGTGCCAACCCATGAAGCGCTGTAGACTCCAAGGGGCAAATACCCAAAAGCGCATGTAGACCCCGAGCTCAAATCTCTGAGTGGAAGTCTGGAGGCCATGGACAACCCACCAGTCTGCTCCAGTCCCAGGTCCCCACAGACCTGTAACATGTGTGGGCATCACATTAGGTTGTGGACACCCCCCTCCTTGGTCCACGGTCTGTGACATCACTGCAACATATATAAATACAATGGGCTGTCTTACCAGGGCAGCCCATTCAAAAAGCAGGGACTTAGTTTGTTGGGTTTTTTTTTTTTTTTTTTTCTTGGCCTCACCCATATATATCTATATATCTATCCCCACCCAGGCACTGTACAGCATCTGAACCCCCTGACGGTGGGACAAGGTAGTGGGTCTGAAACATTTCCCACTACTCCACCTCACCATCAGGGGGCTCATGCACTGCAGCACAGCACCTGGGACACACAAGGCTTCCCTCAAAGGGATTTGAACTCAGGTCTCCAGCAGACCAGTCAGAGCTCTTACCCTCCAAGCTACCGCCTGTGCTCACATAATGGAAGTGCTTGTTCTCCTATTTCAGAAATAAACAGAATTTACACATTAATAATAAAAAAAAAAAGACAGACAATAGAACTCCATTAAGAGGAAGGAAGGGGGACACCATACAGAATACTTACTTCAGTCCTAATACCTAGTTAAAGCTAAGTACAAGACGTTCAACAACAGTCATAAGGAGGTCAACATGGAGATCAGACCATAGACAATGGAACGTCACCATAAGTCATAAAGGAGTCAACATGGAAATGTAAACTACACACAAGAGAACTTCAATAAGAGGAAGGAGAACACACACAACTGCCTAGTTGAAGATACTGTAGTATTTCCTTTGCAAGAACAGGTCTCCTTTTTGACCATGAGAGGGTGCCATTCTCCAACCCATCTACTTCACACTAGCATATCCTGGATCTAAAGCCTAGGACACACAATCAGAAAAATCAGGCAAAAAATACCGCTTTCAAAGTACAATAAGCTGATTATTAGTACACACCTTTTGTCCAAAATTATTTGAAGGGACAAAACACAATTTTTTTTTTTTTTCTGTACAAAAACCAGATCATACAATTTTCATTTAATCAGTACAGTATTCACCTGAAAAATATCTGAAGAACAAGACCACACGTGGAAAATAAATCGGAAGAGCAAGACCACATATGAAAAATAAAAAGGAAGAGCAAGACCACACATGGAAAATAAATCGGAAGAGCAAGACCACACATGAAAGAAATCGGAAGAGGAAGAGCGAGACCACACATGAAAAATAAATCGGAAGAGCAAGACCACACATGAAAAAAATTGGAAGAGCAAGACCACACATGAAAAATAAATCGGAAGAGCAAGACCACACATGAAAAAGAAGAAAAAAAAAAAAAATCGGAAGAGCAAGATCACACATGAACAAAATCGGAAGAGCAAGACCACACATGAAAAAGAAAAAAAAAAAAAAAAAAAAAAAAAAAAATCGGAAGAGCAAGACCACACGTGAAAGAAATCAGAAGAGCAAGAGCACACATGCTCAGAAAAGAAAGAATACATTACAATACAACACATTACTTCCGAAGTTGTATTTTGTTGTATTGGAATTTTAGTAACCTCTTCAATTTTGATATGGAAGTAGCATGCAAAAAAATAATAAAAATAAATAAAAATACGACAATCATTGGTCAGATACTCTCATCGTGTGTACCAGGCTTTAGTCCTCTCAAACAAGTAAAAGCCATTTGCCAGTTATAATAGATCTAGAAAGCAAAGGGTTGGGCTCAGGTCTCCAGGACATCAATCACAGCTTTCATTTCTACCCCTTGTGCTTCTGTCAACTAAACCAGGGGTGGGCAACCTGCAGCTCTCCAGCTGTTGTGGAACTACATTTTCCATGAGGCATTGCAAAGACCGGAAGTTACAAGCATGACTCTACAGGTCTCATGAGACATTGCAAAACTGACAGTTGCAGCTAGAACTTGCAGAGGCATGATGGAACTTGTAGTCCTGCAACAGCTGGAGAGTCGCAGGTTGCCCACCCCTGAACTAAACCATGATCACTGTTCCATCAATGATCAACCAAAGAGAACCACAGCTAGAAACATCAATAAAAAGAAGAACCCCCAACCCCATCACTTGACTCTGAGCTCTATTTACATTTAAAAAAAAAAAAACCCCAAAAACATAATTTAAGTTCTGAAATAGGTCACAGCCCTAAATTGGCAAGGCCACAGATGACCAAACATGGATCTGCAGCAAGTTAAAAGGACCAGATGACCAGAAGAGAAAAAAAAAAAAAACTTCCAACAAGAGGAAAACAGAAATATTTGGATAGAACAATGAGGAGTCATTTCTGTATGTTCTGTGAAGGGCGGGGGAGAACAGATTACACCAACTGCAGTGTAAAGTCAGGATGTCTCCAACCATTCTAAGAGGAAAACACAAGACGCTTTGCCAGCTGAGGGTCATAGATAAACCCTATAATGTTTATTTGTCAAATAAAGATTTTATATCATGAATTATAATTAAAAACAAAAGATATAAAACATCCATTTATAACTTTCAAAAACAATTATTATAAAAGTGGCCAAAAATACAAAATACTTTCCTTTGAAAGAACCACAGGCAAAACACAATTTTATGCATAAAAGATTGCAAAGGCAAAAGTTATTTAGTTGTATCTCTTGTTTGTTTTACCCTCCTGGGGTTCTATTAGAACAGGTACAGAAGCTGCAGAACATGGAGAATAAAAGCTGATTACTTAATATAAAATGTTATATGTGGCATCGGTTAGGTTGTGTTTACATGTGTATGGTGTCTGGTCATACGTGGACCTGGAAACAGACACATGGGAATAAAGTATTACATCAATGAAAGAAGATCACTGGTTTAATCTAAAGGAATGAGTCTCCCATTGTCTTCCCACAGGATCTTCATTAATGAGTCCCTACACTACAGTTCATGGCGTCTCTGTCCGCTTAGGAATTCATGAGGTCCTTGTCTACCTAGGAGTTACAGGTGTCCCAGTTTGCCAAGGAATTTCAGATGTTCCCACCCATCTAGGAGTTGCAGGTGTCCTTGCCTGCCTAGGAGTTCCTGATGTCCCTGCCAACCTAGGAGTTCCCTGTCTGGCTAGGAGATCCTAGTGTCCCAACCCACCTAGGCGTTCCAGGTGTCCCAGCCTGCTTAGGAGTTCCAGGAATCCCCACCTAGGAGTTTCAGCTGTCCCCTAGGAGTCGGCTTAGGAGTTCCAGGTGTGCCTGTCTGCCTGGCTAGGAGTTCTAAGTGTCGTTTCCATCCTAGGAGTTCCAGGTGTCCCTGTCTACCTAGAAGTTCTAGGTGTTCCAGCTTACCTAGGAATTCCAGATGTCCCCACCCACCTAGGAGTTTCAGGTGTCCCCATCTACCTTCGAGCTTCAGGTGTCCCTGTCTACCTTCGAGCTTCAGATGTCCCTGTCTACCTTTGAGTTTCAGGTGTCCCAACCCACCTTCGAGTTCCAGGTGTCCCAACCCACCTTCGAGTTCCAGGTGTCCCAACCCACCTTCGAGTTCCAGGTGTCCCAACCCACCTTCGAGTTCCAGGTGTCCCAACCCACCTTCGAGTTCCAGGTGTCCCAACCCACCTTCGAGTTCCAGGTGAGTTCCAGGTATCCCAACCCACCTTCGAGTTCCAGGTGTCCCAACCCACCTTCGAGTTCCAGGTGTCCCAACCCACCTTCGAGTTCCAGGTGTCCTAACCCACCTAGGCGTTCCAGTTGTCCCAACCAGGGGCGGACTGACAACTCATGGGGCCCCCGGGCAATAGGGGATCATGGGGCCCCTGTGTCCTTGCCCAAACTCAAAAAAGCCTATGAAAAAGGTACCAGGGGCATCTCATGGGGTCCCCTACTGACCCCGGGCCCTCGGGGGCAGTGCCCGAGTTTCCAAATGGTCAGTCCGCCCTTGGTCCCAACCCACCTAGGCGTTCCAGGTGTCCCAGCCTGCTTAGGAGTTCCAGGAATCCCCACCTAGGAGTTCCAGCTTTCCCCATCGGCTTAGGAGTTCCAGGAGTGCCTGCCTGGCTAGGAGTTCTAAGTATCGTTGCCATCCTAGGAGTTCCAGGTGTCCCTGTCTACCTAAAAGTTCTAGGTGTTCCAGCTTACCTAGGAATTCCAGATGTCCCCACCCCCCTAGGAGTTCCAGGTGTCCCTGTCTACCTTGGGAGTTCCAGGTGTCCATGCCCGCCCAGGAGTTTCTAGTGACCCTTGGACAGACAACATTTTGGAGCTTTCCAGGCCAGTGATCGTGTGTTAGCTTTTTCCCTGTTAAAAGTAATGAAGGCCCAAAGATCAATATATTTAGACATTTGAAAATGATATTCAGACGTGGTATTAGACTAAAGTAATTCTCCTAGACCCATCTCCAGCCAAAACCTTTTTTTTTTTTTTTTTTGTGAGATAAGGAAGGGTTAGATCTCAGATTTTTATTGCTGTGTCTATCCATCTTAGAGACATTTATGTTCATTCCCTTTCCTGGTGACAACACAGGAAGTGAGCAGAACTTTCCCCCAGTGGAGACACAGGTACCAATACAAAACCCAACCAAGCATCTAACCCTTCCTAGTGGTTTTCAAAACTTACAAAAAAAAAAAGTTGGCCAGTGCTGGACTTTAAATACACACCACAGGTTCCGTATCTGTACTGAATTATGATCAGAGAAAAAGATGTCATCTTCCTGAGTATGATCAGCACCTTCAATGTTTGAGGATCAGACAGCAACTGCAGTGCACACAGCAGAATATATACAGTATTTAAAAAAATATTTTTTGTAAAGTTCAGCCCAGTTGGCTGTCAGGATGGACTACACACTGTAGACGAGGGTCTTGCGGGCGTTTTACCGTCCTCGGGCACAAACGCAGACACGGAAATAGTTGATGCTGCGATGCCGGAGTGAGTGACATGGAGATATAGTACATCACTATAATGGGTGCTGCCCCCTTATGGCCGTCTGTGCTTTCTGCAGCTGCTTCAACTGGCTTTCCATTTCCTTCACCTAGAAACATGGAATGGGAAAAAATATTTAAAGGTTGACGTCAGAACGACATCTAAAAATACAGGCGACACATTCACAGCAAATAAACTGCTTTTCTTGTCCTGTTTTTACAAATACCTTTAAGGGAGGTAAAACTGTATTGCTGTCATTTCAACTGCAACTATGAAAGGTCAAAATTGCAATACAAACAAGGAACGGATTGCTGGGAAAGTGCAAAAATTACACAACACTGCTTCCCAGTACACCGGCAATTCATTCATCGCTGCCCAGAGAAACTGATCCACGTAAAAGCTTATAAAGAGAAAGGCAACTCTAGCCAACCTGTTATAGAACGTGAAGTACAAAGAGACCGATTCTCGGTGCAGTAGGCCAGCTTAAGTACTTCCCTCTCCTACGTGTCAGCATGGGAAGCAGTCAGTCACACTACAAGCCTGATTTTAAATTTCAGCTGGTGTACAGCAGTTTTTTCATAGCCCAGGTGAAGTCACAGCATAAAAATCAGTGTTAGGCCTCTTTCTCATGGGCACGGTTAGAATGAGACTACCGGCTGGTTTTGCAGCCCGACTGCCTATCAGTTACTCAGCTCTAATGGCCGGAACAGAACATTGTGGGGTCGCAGTTGCAAAGCATGAGGGCTGTGGCTGTTACTCAGCTCTGCCGGGAACAAACATTGTGGGGGGGGGGGGGGGCACAAAGCATGAGAGGGATGTGGCTGTTAGTCAATCCTCTACCAGCCCAGAACACTGCAGCTTGAGGCAGCACAAAGCATGAGGGGGGGGGCACATGCTGTTACTCAGCTCCAATGCAGATGGCACAGAAATCTGCAGTGAGGTCCAGTGGGCACAAAGCATGATAAGGGTGTTGCTATTACTCAGTCTCTGCCAGCACATAACACTGCAGCTGGGAGGCACAAAGCATAGGCTGTGGCACTGTTACTCAGCTCTACCAAAAACATTGTGGTCAGACAAACCCCATCTCTCTTCCTCTACATGTCTGTGGGGGGGGTCAAAAAGCGTGAGGGGTGTGGCTGTTACTCAGCTCTGCTGGAACAAAACATTGTGGAGGGGGAGGGGGGGCACAAAGCATGAGGGGTGTAGTCTATTACTCAGCTCTGTTGCATAGTAGAAACACTTCAGGGGGGGCACAAAGCATGAGAGGGTGTGGCTGTTAGTCAGCTCTGCTGGAACAGAACACTGCAGCTGGAGGGCACAAAGCATGAGGGGTGTGGCTGTTACTCAGTTCTACTAGCACAGAAGACTGCAGCTGGATGGCACAAAGCATGTGGGGTGTGGCTGTTACTCAGCTCTACCAGCACAGAAAACTGAAGCTGGAGGGCACAAAACAGCATTGTCACTGACAAGAAAGGTATAACTCCACCTATCAGTAGCTTTCTCTGTATACTGTACACAGACTGAATTCTGAAAGCTAGCACACTAGGATAAGGATACTTATTTTTATATAAGTAACAGTTATCCACATCTGAGTCCAATCAGATTTGAAAATGACAGTCACGTGGCTGAAATACAGTTTGTATCCTTGCATAAATCTTTGGCAGTTGAGCATAAAACACAAAGGGGAGACTACGAGCCAAAAGAGTTCTATGACGCTGTACTGGGAAGTTTCCTATTGATTGTTCAGCTCGGCTATTATCATACCTTGCTCTGTAACGCTGCGAGGGTTGTTTCAAGTGTTGAGATGTAGTCGTCTTCAGAGTCCTCTTGTAGGTACTCCTCCGGTCTACAAGACGAAGAACAAACAGATGACATGGGGAGGTGGTATACAAAGACAGAAAGACAAGCCTTGATTCATTTGCTACCTGGAAAAGTGATGATTAAGGTTTTGTTATAGCCAAGAGAGGACAGATATAAAGATGAGACACGGAGGTTAGATGTCTTTCTGGAAAGATGAGGATTGAAGCTTCATTGAAAGTGACCCTGTCAGGTCCATCCCTGAAATAGAAGAGGTTTTGTATCCACCACTATGGTGGACCAGGTCTCCTAACTCTCCCATTGTTCCAGAACTCCAGAGGACTCTACAGCATTTGATACTTCCCAAAGTGTCAGATTTCTGTGTTTCCCACTGAGCGCTGTATTTCCTTCCTCCAATCCGTCTGTACATTACAAGAATCAGCAATTCAGTAGAGGTTAGGGGAAGAAACCACAACATAGTTGGAGGACACAAGCATCCAACATTTCCCAGAGAGTTGAGTACTGTAGAGTCTGATGGAGGATACATCACTGGAATGGAGAAGGTAAGAGACACGGGACACCAGAGAGGCAAGTATAAAACCTCTTCTATAGCAGAGACCTTCCTTTTGGGATCTGTTAAAGAACTGACATGGCCACTTTTGTTGAATTTGGCAGGGGGGGGGTATGACAAAATGGTGCTTGTCCTTCAACTTGGTCTCCTCCATAAGGAAAAACCCTCTAACCCCTAAAGAGGTTCTCCCATGGGTAGGAAAGCAGGCTGAAGCCACCTTTACTCAAGTAAGGTTTACTCGATGCCGGGACAGTGTGCAGATGGGCGCCATTTTGTCATAGCCTTGACAAGCTGGTAATCAACACAACTAACATCTGCAAACAGTAAGTGCTATTCTGCTGGGATGACACATTGGGGCATCTGAGTGGTTAGAAAATTTGCTTGAAGGTTACATTCTACACATCCCTCTTTCCCACCATACATGCATATTACCACAGCTTTAACGACCAAGAGGGTTGGTGAGTGCCTGATGGAATGTGAAAAGGAGTTCCAGGGAAGCAACAAGAGAGAAGTCCAATAGGTTTATAAGGAAATCTACAATTGGGAGATAGGGTGGCCCAATCCAGTCTATGATCTGACCTTTGATGGGATACTTGGGCAAGGAATGGGCCACTTAGGGGCAATGACAATGTTTCTGACGGTCAGAAGCCATCATTATGACATTTTCTAGTGTGCTAGGTATTTTCTGTGGTCAGTCCAGACCAGCATTACCTACGTGAGTCCGCTGGGGAGTCTCACAAGGACCGGCTGTGGGTCTCGCAGCTACAGAGGACTAAGTCACCTGAGAAGGAGACTTGTGGATGGAACTAAAGGCTGTTTTATTTAGAGGCTAAAAATGAGACATAAGAAGTGGCAGACTGCTGAGTATTCTCTATGGTAGAAGTAGGGGTCTGAATTCTACATGGAGAGCTTGGTGTAAAGATCGACAGAGGAGGACACCATAAGATGTGAAAGGTGAGGAGTGCTACCCCAGCTCTAGCATTCAATCCAGACTGCACTAGGGAATCAATAGGGATTGTAAGACAAATACAAGGAAGGGGAGCCAACACCACTTCTTCCATTATGTGTGTTCTGTGATACTCTCTGACTCTCTGACTACAACACCCCCAATCCGCAATGTCCCCAATGACATACCAATGACTGTGATAACCAGGAAGGGCACGTGTCATACCTGGAGTCCTCTGGGCTGAATCGGTCAGTATAACTGAATTCCTCATCCCGTCGGTTCCGGAAGTGTGAAGAGAGGGCATCGGACTGACCCTGCGTCCCACAACCTGCGATCATACAGATACATTTACCCAGATGGGATTGCCACTTATCAGTATTTATATAATAAAACAAAACACATCGAATAATTAAATACATGGAGAAAATGTTCAAAAACAATAGGACATGCGTGTCCCTACACCTCCTCCTCATCATCATGTCGGTGGAGTGGGTGGGGAACAGGCACAACACACCACTCACGGACTCCCAACGACCATAAAGCAGGGTGGAGGGAAAGTACAGAATGAGAGCGCCACAAGTCCAGCAAAAGTGTATTTTTTAAAAGAAGTCAGGAATATGCGGCCAACGCGTTTCGGAGCTCTAAACTTCCCCTTCAGGATGGAAGATGATGGTGGACAGGTAACAAAAAAAACAAGGAATCAGGTATTCACGACTTTTACTACAAATACCTTAATCCTCATTTTTTTTATTTTTATTTTTTGTTACTACCTGTCAAGAATTTGCTTCAATTGTTTAAAAGGCAAAAATCATACCCCAGCTCAACTGCTTAATCCATAGTTCAAGGCTGAAGACCGGTGCTCAGGCTGGGATGTTCCGTCCCCAATACAGTTGGCCTATAGCAAAAAACGCCAGCAATTCAGTGTACTCTTCTTATTAAACTTATTACATTTATATATTTTTTTTTTTCACATAAATAGACCTTTCTTTGCTAGTATTTGAGCGACCCTTTCTTTTTTTTTTTTTTTAATTATATAAATAAAAAAAGACTAAATATTTTGAAAAAAAAAAAATATGTTTTACTTTCTGCTATCAAACATATCCAATAAAAAAAAACAAAAAAAAAAAAAACAAATGTTTACATGTGGTCGGGAAGGAATAAGAAATAAAAAGGAAAAAGCAAGGTATTGTCAAGAACGTTTTGTATCCTTGTGGTCTCTGTTTTTGTTTGATTACCATTTCGGTTATTCTGTTTATTACGGGATCTGCGTATCCACGTCGTTCTATTTATTAAAGGATCTGCCTATCCACGTCGTTCTATTTCGTTCTATTAAAGGATCTGCGTATCCATCCACGTCGTTCTATTTATTAAAAGGATCTGCCTATCCACACATCGTTCTATTTATTAAAGGATCTGTGTATCCACGACGTTCTATTTATTAAAGGATCTGCGTATCCACGTCGTTCTATTTATTAAAGGATCTGCGTATCCACGTCGTTCTATTTATTAAAGGATCTGCGTATCCACGTCGTTCTATTTATTAAAGGATCTGCGTATCCACGTCGTTCTATTTATTAAAGGATCTGCGGATCTGCGTATCCACGTCGTTCTATTTATTAAAGGATCTGCGTATCCACGTCGTTCTATTTATTAAAGGATCTGCGTATCCACGTCGTTCTATTTATTAAAGGATCTGCTGCCTATCCATCCACATCGTTCTATTTATTAAAGGATCTGCGTATCCACGTCGTTCTATTTATTAAAGGATCTGCCTATCCACGTCGTTCTATTTATTAAAGGATCTGTGTATCCACGACGTTCTATTTATTAAAGGATCTGCCTATCCACGTCGTTCTATTTATTAAAGGATCTGTGTATCCACGACGTTCTATTTATTAAAGGATCTGCGTATCCACGTCGTTCTATTTATTAAAGGATCTGCCTATCCACATCGTTCTATTTATTAAAGGATTCTGCCTATCCAATCGTTCTATTTATTAAAGGATCTGTGTATCCACGACGTTCTATTTATTAAAGGATCTGCGTATCCACGTCGTTCTATTTATTAAAGGATCTGCCTATCCACGTTGTCCTATTTATGTGTAATCCTGCTTTTGCAGTAATGTCATTGTGGATTCTGTAAGTACTGTTCCATTTTCTCTATTATCTTGACAATAAAAGTTGTTTGGAATAAAAAAAAAAAGAAAAAAAAAATTCTTTATAAATTTAGGTCAAAATGTATTCTGCTAGATGTCTTTGCTAAAAAAAAAAAAAAGTAACAAAAAAAAAAAAAAAAATCCCAATAAGTGATTTGGTCTGCGTGTTAGTTATAGCACCTACAAACTATTACTAGTATATACTAGTATAAAAAAATAAATAAAAATACAAATTCCAGTAATGGTGGTGATCAGTGACTTATAGCAGGCAATCTGACACTAACTGACACGGGCTGGGGGTACACTAACTGACACAGGCTGGGGGTATACTAACTGACACCAATAGTGACACTAATACATTGATCAGTTCTAATGCTGCACACGGTCACTGTACTAATGACACTGGCTGGGAACATCAAGGGGTTACCTACAATGTGTGTAATATGTGATGCTTACTAAGGGATCTTTTTTTTTTTCACTGCTTAGCAGGGAAAAAAAAAAAAAAACAAGATCTCCTGTCAGTGAGCAGAGCTCTGTGTTGTTTACCATCACAGAGCCTTGTTCTGTGAATCACTGAGCCGATCAGCAGGTCCCGGTGCTCAATCATTGGCTGAGACCCACTGATAGGCTTGTGATGTAACGAATCACAGCAGAGTCAGGCTGGCAGGCGTGTGAGCGCCCCCTGCCTGGGCACCCGGATTAAGTACTAGGTATGTGGGCCGGTCCGCAGGTGGTTAGAAATTGGGCGTTTCAGCCTGATTTTGCCAACCCTTGGGTCCATCATCCTACCAATGCGTCTTCCATCACAGAAGGGCGGGCACAGACATTGTAAATCGAGGTTATTTTTTTAGCATTTTGTTTTAGTATACCGAAGGCATCCCGAGAGCACTATACAGCTCTGCCCCTAGAGACTAAAAAAATAAAAAAGAGAGCAAACTTCTTTGTATCCCATATATGAAATGTAAAAGAATGGCGCAGACACGTTTATAAAAGGGACCTTTGATCAGTAGTCGCCATCAATGTAGCTCTCCATACATCATGGATAACCCCACAAACACCCGTGACCAAACAAGCTCTCAGTTATGTTAATATTGTCCTTTCCTTTCTTTCGTTTGCTAATGGGGCTGAATAAGTCAGATCTGAAGAATTCTGAATTAAACAGAACAATGTAAAAATGAAGGGGGCACCCGGATTTGAACCGGGGACCTCTTGATCTGCAGTCAAATGCTCTACCACTGAGCTATACCCCCTGTGCACATGTGCAGCTCATTATCTGGAGCAGGTATGGTGACTCTTCTCTGACTCATGTATATTTGTTCAGCACTGTTTGCTTTCACAGTTCCCTGGACAGCTAATAGAGTGAAAAAAAAACTGGAAGGATTTGCATTCAGAGGGAACTACTCGTTCAACACAGCGAGTCCAGAACCTTCCTTATATTCGATCTGTACGAAGACAGATTAAAAATTGTCACTGAGCACTATCTGTATCGGCCTCCACTGACACCCACCAACTCCCGGGGCTCCTAAATGTAATGCCAGTTAAAGATGGACTCTGGGAAACATGAAAATGCCTCCTGGTGCCCACACTGCAAGACTTGACTTTCTCTTTAGGTCAAGGAGCCATAGAAAAGGAGATTTACACACCTGAATCTCTGGGCTGCTAGATCAGTCCCCCATACACCAGTCATCCAATGTAGTGACATCATCAAGACCAATGCAAGGTCCTTAGCCTGCATTTGCATGAGGATTTGACAATGAGGATGCTGAGGGATGGTCCAATGCAAGAGCATGGGGGGAGCACCATCGGTTTACCGCCTGAGCATGGGGGGAGCACCATCGGTTTACCGCCTGAGCATGGGGGGAGCACCATCGGTTTACCGCCTGAGCATGGGGGGAGCACCATCGGTTCACTGCTGAAGCATAGGGGCAGCAACATTGGTTCACCGCCAGAGCATGGGGGGGGGGGAGCACCATCAGTTCAGTGCTGGAGCATGTGGGGAGCACCATCGGTTTACCGCCAAAGCATGGGGGGGGTGCACCATCGGTTCAAAGCATGGGGGGAGCACCATCGGTTCACCGCCGGAGCATGGGGGGAGCAAAATCGGTTCACCGCCGGAGCATGGGGGGAGCAACATCGGTTCACCGCCGGAGCATGGGGGGAGCAACATCGGTTCACCGCCGCCGAGCATGGGGGGAGCAACATCGGTTTCACCGCCGGAGCATGTTCACAACATCGGTTCACCGCCGGAGCATAGGGGGAGGGTCCTCCATCTGCTGGGGAAATGAAGGATAGGGTAGACCCAACCGAGCTGGTAACTCTTGCAGTGCAGGAGAAGTGCGGTCATAGAATTTACTGACCACATAGAACGTATTTCAATGAAAAAACCAACACAGCATAAAGGGAAGCAATAGTGAAGCTGCACAACGTTCATCTATTAAAACCTAAAAAGAGTTTAAATACGTTTATAAAAAGATCAGCAATCATGAAACAAAGTCCTTTTTCCTTTGTTTCCTCTCATCTGCTGAAAATGTTCATCCAACTGAAAAAAAAAACCTGGCCTAGGTTTGCGATGTGTCCGGGTCAGGCTGTCCGGATAGTTTTCCTTTTTAGGACTTTTATCTGAACTTGCTGCATAGGAAGAGTTTTCAGCGGCTAATAAACCATCGGAGAGCGTTGGGGTGGAATCTGGGGAAACTCGCAGCTGTCGTGATTGAATTCCCCATCAGGGGACATGAACATTCCTCCACAACTGCCACATAGCAAGGGTGGGGGATGGGGATAAATGTTCCCCAGGACACTGGAGTATACTGTATGTTCTGTATATTGCCCAAGACAGGAGGGATCCCCGCTACAGGTACAGAGCAATCAATTGGGTTTTACCGCAGCACTTCCCAGCCTTTATTCAGTGGTGGCACCCTTTAATAGTATGTCAAATCTCCGGGCCCTACGCCGTGCTCCAGCCCTCGCTTCCGGGCCCCTTCCACCTTGCTGGCCAGCCTGGAACTGACTCAAGCGGGTCTGTATGCAGGACGTCCACACTGCGGCAGCGCACTTCTTGACAGACACAGATGTGCCCTTCTCTTTCCACTCTCCTGTGAGCTGCCTATACTTGTGATCAATACATTTTATTTTACGTCTACACTTAGGGACCCCTTTATCCTTTCTCCTTGATGACAATAACCATACATCAGAGGTCCCCCCATCACATCAGAGCCCCCCCCCCCCCCATCAAATCAGAGCCCCCCCTATCAAATCAGAGGTCCCCCCAAATCAGAGGTCCCCCCATCAAATCAGAGGTCCCCCCATCAAATCAGAGGTCCCCCCATCACATCAGAGGTCCCCCCATCACATCAGAGGTCCCCCCATCACATCAGAGGTCCCCCCATCAAATCAGAGGTCCCCCCATCAGAATCACATCAGAGGTCCCATCACATCAGAGGTCCCCCATCACATCAGAGGTCCCCCCATCACATCAGAGGTCCCCCCATCACATCAGAGGTCCCCCCATCACATCAGAGGTCCCCCCATCACATCAGAGGTCCCCCATCACATCAGAGGTCCCCCCATCACATCAGAGGTCCCCCCATCACATCAGAGGTCCCCCCATCACATCAGAGGTCCCCCCATCACATCAGAGGTCCCCCCATCACATCAGAGGTCCCCCCATCACATCAGAGGTCCCCCATCAAACATCAAATCAGAGGTCCCCCCATCACATCAGAGGTCCCCCCATCACATCAGAGGTCCCCCCATCACATCAGAGGTCCCCCCATCAAATCAGAGGTCCCCCCATCACATCAGAGGTCCACATCACATCAGAGGTCCCCCCATCACATCAGAGGTCCCCCCAAATCAGAGGTCCCCCCATCACATCAGAGGTCCCCCCATCACATCGGAGGTTCCCCCATCACATCGGAGGTCCCCCCATCACATCAGAGGTCCCCCCATCACATCAGAGGTCCCCCCATCACATCAGAGGTCCCCCCATCACATCAGAGGTCCCCCCATCACATCAGAGGTCCCCCCATCACATCAGAGGTCCCCCCATCACATCAGAGGTCCTCCCCATCAAACAGAGGTCCCCCCATCAAATCAGAGGTCCCCCCCATCAACATCAGAGGTCCCCCCATCACATCAGAGGTCCCCCCATCACATCAGAGGTCCCCCCATCAAATCAGAGGTCCCCCCATCAAATCAGAGGTCCCCCCATCACATCAGAGGTCCCATCACATCAGAGGTCCCATCACATCAGAGGTCCCATCACATCAGAGGTCCCATCACATCAGAGGTCCCATCACATCAGAGGTCCACCCATCACATCAGAGATCCCCCCCATCAAATCAGAGGTCCCATCACATCAGAGGTCCCCCCATCACATCAGAGGTCCCCCCATCACATCGGAGGTCCCCCCATCACATCAGAGGTCCCCCCATCACATCAGAGGTCCCCCCATCACATCAGAGGTCCCCCATCACATCAGAGGTCCCCCCATCACATCAGAGCTTCTTCCATCACATCACAGCCCCCCCCCCCCCCAACACACACACACACACCAGAGATCCCCCATTAAATCAGAGGACTCCCCACCACCTCAGAGTTCCCCTTTTTATCAGAGGTCCTCCCATCAAATCACAGCCCTCCTTCACCTAAGAGGTCCACCCATCAGAGAGGTCCCAGTTTATATCAACACTCCTTCCATCACATCACAGCCCCTCTTCACATCAGAGCCCTTCTTTATGCCAGAGGTCTCCCCTTCAGATCAGAGGTTCCCCTTTATATCAGAGCTTCTTCCATCACATCAGAGGTCCTCCCATCACCTTAGAGCCACCCTTCACATCAGATGCCCCCCATCACATCATAGTCCGCTTTCACATCAGAGCCCCCCTTTATACCAGAGGTCCCCCCTTAACCTCAGAACTCCCCATTATATCAAAGGTCCTCCCATCACAGCAGAGGTCCCCATTATATCAAAGGTCCTCCCATCACATCAGAGGTCCCCATTATATCAAAGGTCCTTCTGAATGGATTTGCATGTCTCAGCATCTACAGAACAGAAGCAGGTAACAGCCTTTATGATATTTGCAAAACCCTGCCAATAAAACTTTACATTAAAAATTTTGCAGGCACTATGCTAACTTGTATTTTTCATCATCACACTGCACCCCGGGGCTCACCATCGCAGCATTCCTTCCAGAAGCGCAGATCCAGGCCGGGGATGTCACCGCAGGGCCGCATGTCTCGGGGAAAGAGAGCCACTTGGAATACATCCTCCTGGATGTGCTGAATGTTGTCACCATTGTCACACAGGACTCGAGCCAATGAGGTCTGCTTGATTTCAGTGAGCTGGGCCGGGGTGAAGACACCAGGGTTACTGTACCAGAACCTGCATGGGGCAAAGGGCCGGACATTTCTTTTAGAGCCCATATCAAACATAATCTATATATATCTGACAGACTACACACCCCAGCCTGCTGGTTGGACAATGAGTGAGCAACAAAATGCTGATGAACCATCACTGCCTTCCCTCTGCTCCAACCGGCACTGCCCTCCCCCTGCTCCAACCGGCACTGCCCTCCCCCTGCTCCAACCGCCACTGCCCTCCCCCTGCTCCCAACCGCCACTGCCCTCCCTCTGCTCCAACCGCCACTGCCCTCCCTCTGCTCCAACCGCCACTGCCCTCCCCCTGCCCAACCGCCACTGCCCTCCCTCAGGCACTGCCCTCCCCCTGCCCAACCGGCACTGCCCTCCCCCTGCCCAACCGGCAATGCCCTCCCCCTGCCCAACCGGCACTGCCCTCCCCCTGCCCCAACCGGCACTGCCCTCCCCCTGCCCCAACCGGCACTGCCCCCAACCCCCCTGCCCCAACCGGCACTGCCCTCCCCCTGCCCCAACCGGCACTGCCCTCCCTCTGCTCCAACCGGCACTGCCCTCCCCCTGCTCCAACCGGCACTGCCCTCCCCCTGCTCCAACCGGCACTGCCCTCCCCTGCTCCAACCGGCACTGCCCTCCCCTGCTCCAACCGGCACTGCCCTCCCCCTGCTCCAACCGGCACTGCCCCCCCACTGCTCCATCCGGCACTGCCCTCCCCCTGCTCCATCCGGCACTGCCCTCCCCCTGCTCCATCCGGCACTGCCCTCCCCTGCTCCATCCGGCACTGCCCTCCCTCTGCTCCATGGCACTGCCCTCCCTCTGCTCAAGAGCAGATATCCATACAGATTCAGGTACTTATGTTAGCTGCATGTAAAAAGTAGTTTATTTGGAAATAAATCAAAACTGCATTAAAGCCAAAATCCTGACACGGCGATTTCACTAGCTTGACCATTCACAAGACAATGGCCGAAGTTAGGTAAGAAAGCCTGGATGAAAAAGATTTTTTGGACAGCCAAGGAGAAGGCTTTCACCTGCTTGAAGTTCAGCTTTATTATGATTTTAATTCATATGAAAGGTTTGTGTTTTGTCCATATAAAACGACACAATTGTTCTCCATAAGCAGATGTGCCAAGGTTCACACCATACCTGTCTCCATCCCGAAGCCTCTTAAACTGAGTGACCAGAAGGCACACATGAGAGTTGGACCAACGCGGGACCCTGGGATCAGATCCTCCACGATCAGGGCTGGGAAGAGATCCACATTTTTGGGGGTTCCGTACAAACTGCAAATCAGTAAGAACATTGGTGAGAAAGAGAGATACAAAGGGGGGAGATTAACTAAAACTGGAGCACTCAAAATCTGGTGTAGCTGTGCATGGTAGCCAATCAGCTTCTAGCTTCAGCTTGTTCAGGTCGGCTTTGGCAATAAAACCTGAAAGCTGATTGGTTTCTATGCACAGATGCACCAGATTTTGCACTCCAGTTTTAGTAAACAACCCCCAAATCTTCCAATAATTTAATGGATGATAATGTTAAGAAGCAACAAGAGTCCCTAAAGCAACCTCGTACTTTGCTTGGAGTGGATGAAAGGCTTGCTTGGTAATGAGCACCACTAGGAGTTATTACTTACCTTCCCCACCAACAAGGCTCCATGCCAAGGTATGGTGGAACATCTGACCGCACCCAGCTTCCCTCAGTGCAGAGCTCAGTGCGTGACCAACCAATCACCAGGTCTGAGCATCATCACAAGGGGAAGAGGGGATGTGAGTAACATGTTTAGGCTATACAATAGTTGAAAGTTCAAAGGAATTCTCTTTGCCAATTTGGAAAGGTAAGTTTTCTTTCCTTGTGGTTCCTGCCTACTCCAGACTTTAGTATAAATTTATACATATTATTTATGAACAGGTTAAAGCCCGACTTCTAGGCAAAATGTATTATTTTTTACAAAGTTCCCCCTGGAGATTAAAAAACAAAAAACACAACAAAAACTGCTGCATCAATGCTCACCTTCGGTCCAGGACTGTCCCCAGAAGTACGTGTTCCTCACCCAGCTCTCAATGATGCCAATCACCAGGGGCGGTCTGACCATTTGGTAACTCGGGCACTGCCTGAGGGCCCAGGGTCAGTAGGGGGCCCCATGAGATGCCCCTGGTACTATTTTCATAGGCTTTTTTGAGTTTGGGCAAGGACACAGGGGCCCCATGATCCCCTATTGCCCGGGGGCCCCATGAAATGTCAGTCTGCCCCTGCCCATCACCATTCATACCAGTAGACTAAGGACCAACTGAGCATTCAGGGAATTATGGACTCAATCACCAGAGGGGGGAATCCCAGTAGCACCCTGCACTCTATGTGCTGATTCAGAGAGCAGCAGCACCATCATGACAACTCCACTCTGCATCATTCAGGGCCACAAGGAGTTGATGGAAGAAGAAGGGAAGCCAATATGTCTCATGACCAGCCTGAAGACATTAGAAAAAGGCAGGAAGACTAGAGTTGAGCTTTAAAGAGTGGACCCTTGTGGTATACCCTTTACATGTTTAGACCAGGGGCGGACTGACCATTTGGAAACTCGGGCACTGCCTGAGGGCCCAGGGTCAGTAGGGGGCCCCATGAGATGCCCCTGGTACCTTTTTCATAGGCTTTTTTGAGTTTGGGCAAGGACACAGGGGCCCCATGATCCCCTATTGCCTGGGGGCCCCATGAGTTGTCAGTCCGCCCCTAGTTTAGACCATCCAAAATCCTGATCACGCCTGTTCTCTATCCAGTCACAGTTTAGGTTTTATTCATCTGTGAGGAACTGTGCCAAACGCTTGAGCAGAGTTCAAATATACTTCATTTACAGACAATTCTTTGCTTGCTTCCTCATAAAAAAGGAAATACATTTATTTACCAACATTATTCACTTAGAAATTCATGCTGGCTACCACTTATGATATACTTTTCTATTACATACTCTCACCAATTCTTCAAATATCTTTCCTACAACAGACATATTTGTTGGGAGAAGACCTTGATTCCGAATGACCACATTTACAAAGTGTCAGTTCAATAGCACCAAGGGACTAAAGAGTTTCTGTCAGGGGCGGACTGACAACTCATGGGGCCCCCGGGAAATAGGGGATCATGGGGCCCCTGTGTCCTTGTCCAAACTCAAAAAAACCTATGAAAAAGGTACCAGGGGCATCTCATGGGGCCCCCCTACTGACCCTGGGCCCTCGGGCAGTGCCCGAGTTTCCAAATGGTCAGTCCGCCCCTGCACCTAGGAGTGCTAGCCAGGGACAGGCAAGTCTAGCCTTGGGAATGGTGGGAGGGTTGCTGGGTCCCACCATGATTCTCACACATCAATGACAGATATATGGCTTCTTAGAAAAGATGTTATATGCTTGCATGGCCCAACAACCACTGGAATTGCACACTACCCCTTAAGTAGGTGTCACACCTATGAAAAAGGTACCAAGGGCATCTCATGGGGCCCCCTACTGACCCCAGGCCCTCGAGCAGCGCCCGAGTTTCCAAATGGTCAGTCCGCCCCTGGTTTCCGTAGATTAGAAGCAATAATTAAGCTAAGCTCTTTCTGCACTCATGGGTGTAAGTCATCTGGTCCAGGTGCTATTTTATTTTATATGTTTCTGGAAAATATCAGATATACTGTTCTGAATTTAAAACTGTGTCAGCGCCATCCTAATATTTTGCAGCAGCACAACCATGATCAGAGAGCTAGAAGATACAGTTGCAAGAAAAAGTACTGAACCCCTTGGGATTACATGGAGTTTTGCATGAATTGGGCATAAAATGTGCTCTGAACGTCATCTAAGTCACAACAATAGAAGAACACAGTCTGCTGAACATAATACTACACAAACATTAGATGTTGCCATGGTTTAATTTAACATGTAAACATTCACAGTGCAGGGAGGAAAAAGTATGTTAGCTTAATGACTTCTCCCAGAGCCTTTAGGTTGTTTTGGGTTTAGGTTTCTCTCAGAAGACCTAGTTTTTGCTCAGACCTTGTTTTTTTTTTCCCCTATTAACATAGGAGATTCTTTAGGGGAAATGGGTCATTTTCTATTCTGGTTTCAAAAAGCCTTGATGTTCATGTGTCCACGGTAAGACAGACTCTCTGATTTTTCTTTTGCACCCCCTTGTTAAAGCACATAGAATGCTGCATAGGTATATATGTCATAAAGACCTATATATATCTCTGGCACATATAACATTTTTGTTGATCTATATAAGGAAACCATTAAACAAGAATGGAGTATGGGAGGACACCACGGAGGAAGCCATAAAAAGAATATTGCAGCATATTTGAAGTTTGCAAAAGAGCACCTGGATGTTCCACAGCACTATACTGTGGACAGATGAAACAAGATTGAGTTGTTTGGGAAGAACACGCAAAAGTGTGGAGAAAAAAAGGCACAGCACACCAACATAAAAATCCCCACTGTTCCATGGTACATCATTTTGGGGCCGTGCCTCAGTGGACAGATTTCATTGATGGGAAAATAAAGTGACTCAAGACATTTTAAAAACTATGTTTGAAAGGGGGTGATGCAAATACAAAGTTACAAGTAATTCCTGAAAAACAATGTGACAATTAAATACGCCTTCTGGAGTGGCCCAGTCAGTGACCATCAACTTGAAATACAAACAAAAGAGCGATTCACACCAGACATCCCAAGAATATTGCTACACTGAAACGCAAGAGGAGTGGTCCAAAATTCCAGATAAAGGTCTGATCTGCAACTAAGGAAACGTTTGGTTGACAGTTATTGCTGCCAAAGAAAAAAAAAGTCCAAAGGTTCACATACTTTTTCCTCCCTGCACTGTGAATACAGTCCATGGCAACATCTAATGTTTGTGTAAATTATGTTCAAGACTGTGTTCTTCTATTGTTTCACTTAAAAAGAGTAAATGCCCAATTCATGCAAAACCCCACGTAAAAGGGGTTCCATACTTTTTCTTGCAACTGTAATTTAATAATTTTTATTTTTTGTACATTTTGAATTTAGGTTCTCAGTTTTTGCTCAGACCTGTTTTTTTTTCCCCTAAACATATTTCTTTAGGGGAAATGGGTCCTATTTTCTATTCTTTCTGATTTCTCTTTTGCACCCAAATTATATATATATATATTATATATATATATATTATATATATATATGATTATCATACATACACATAAAAGCTAAAAAGTGTTCCTTACATTCCGGTATTTAAAGTGACTCTGTAACTATGTTTAAAGGGGAAATACAGTTCTTCCTGAAAAGGAATTAATACTCAGAACACAGCGCAAACAATTTTAAAGAAAAAAGACAGAAGAAAAAAAAAGTCTAAATAAGTCCCAATTCTCGTGTTTCAAAAAACAAAAACAAAAAACAAAAAAAACCACAAAAAATATATAATTCCCAATGTGTTTCAAATCAGATGAGATCTCCCCACAATTTTAGTATAACACTGAACACTGAACGAATCTCCAAAATCTTCAATATTTTTCTGAACAATACCTCACGAGTGAATGAAAGAGAGAAAAGAAAAACCAAATCGTGTGATACTGCATAAACTATAAATAGAGCTAATGTTCACCATTACACTCACATTTAAAAAATCAATTACAAGCTCAGATGGACACGAAATCCTCTCAAACGGCCCCCAGCAATCCTTCCCTGGTAATCCGCAAACTCTCGCTCATGGATGGTGTTCTACAATTGTGGAGATCTCATCTCACCTCCAAAGTGTGTGTCTGATTCCTAAATCCATCACCCACTTGGAAATCACCTGATTGGGTGAGTGTGGGTGAATATTTGAATCACTACAGATGATTTGAACATGTTGGGAATTATATATTTTTTGTAGTAAGTTTTTGTTGTTGTTTTTTTTTTTTAAACACGAGACGTTCTTTATTTGGGACTTATTTGGACTTTTTTTTCTTCTGTCTTTTTTCTTTAAAATCAGTTTGCACGGTTTTCATTTTTTTTTGTATTTTGATGTTTTTTTTTTATCTTTTGAGCGGCAGCATTCTTTTATTGTGTGTTATTTCTTTGGCGCAGGTTATTTCTCATTTTTTTCACCTGTCCATCTGCCCACGCTGACAACCCTTGGCTGCCTGCTCAATGATCTTCTGCATCCAGCTCACTCCCAGGTGTCAAAGATGCATGGTTCCCCTGTTGTGGTTCCTTCTGCCAGCCCCAGCATTTTGCAATAACATAGGAGCCAGCAGATGAAAACGCAGAGCATAGACCAGGGGCAGACTGACCATTTGGAAACTCGGGCACTGCCCGAGGGCCCGGGGCCAGTAGGGGGCCCCATGAGATGTCCCTGGTACCTTTTTCATAGGCTTTTTTGAGTTTGCGCAAGGACACAGGGGCCCCATGATCCCCTCTTGCCCGGGGGCCCCATGAGTTGTTGTCAGTCCGCCCCTGGCAGAGACACACCTAGAAGTGTTGAATGTAAAAAAACATTGAGTAAACTTCATTCTTCAATTCGAATCAGTTTGGTGACGTGAGCAGTGGCACAGGTGAGTATTATCTTCTTTCCTTTCAGGCAAAAACCGCTTTTCAACTGTTATAAATAGTGACAGAGCCCTTCCTTCGTCAACTGTATAATAATTCAAAGGTTCCTACGACTCACCTTCGGAGCTTCTGCCTTACATCTTGGTTCTTGATTTCATTCTTCAGGTCCTCAAAATCCTGTGCTGAGCTGAGACTGCAATACATCCTGTAGTCATTGTACGGTGGAATGCCATGGTCCCTGCCACGTTGGATATTGATGGCCGCAAGGTCCAAAGACACAGTATGCACAGCAGCAAAAAGTTTTTCAGTGAGCTCCAGATTGAGTAGTTCTGTGGGGACCCTCATCTTACCAGGAACCCCAAAGAGCCCTCGCAGAATAGGGTCTATCCCTCCTTCTGTAGCAACCTGAATGGGCTGAAGAAGGCCTTGTGCAACGGGAGATGGCCTTGTTGGATAGGTTGAAAGGTTTCATTCAGTCGGTAGATGATGGGGTTAATCAGGGTGTGCCCAAATCTTAAAGCAGCAGTGGCAAAGGCATTGAAGATTGCGCTGTTGACATTAGGGTCGTAGACTTTATACTCCCCCAGCATTCTCATTCCAGGTTCTCCAAGAATCTTTGGAAGCCAATGGGTGAAGGTAATGTGCTGCATTTGAGCGCCAACAATCTTTCTGGCCTCGTGGTAGATCTGATCACCGTTCCAGTGCGGGTTGAGCTTCTGTAGATGTTCTGCAATACGGTTATGCTCTCGAAACCATAAGGTATGCATGGCAGTAAGGCCAAGCTGTTCATTAGCTCGATGGTCTCCAGCTAGAAAGCATGGGACTGAACTTTCCCGTTCATCTCGCATGCATTCTGTAGGAGGTCCGTGAGCAAAAGGCATCATGGGCTTTCCAAAAGTCATCACTCCTCCGGCTTTCAAAACACCCCTCTGATTTGTCAGATCTCTGAGCTCTAAGGACTCATGCTCAGAACTCCCGTACACATTAGAGGCATCAATGTAAGCAGTGAGCATATTGACCTGCTCTCGGTAATAGGCCGAGTCCATAAGAAGAGAGGTCACACCACTGCCGCAAACTGGGCTGGACCGGGCAAAGAACATGCAGTGTCCATTTTTTAACCGAGGATCTTTCTCAGGCATGGTGATGGGAAAGCAGGGAGGGTCATTGGTACACACCTGGCTGCAAGGTGCTCCATCAGAGAATCTGGACATGCCTAGTGCTGGAATGGTCTGGTCTAGATCATGATCCAGAAACTGACCCCACTGCATGAGCATGTGTGTATACTGGGCATCTGGAGTGATGGTCTCTGTGCCAATCATGGTGGTAGACACCAGACGAGGGAGCGGTAAAGGCAGCACACCCGACTCATCCGATGCTCCTCGGGGGGTGGTTAAAGCCATTCTGATAGGCGGGCTTGAGCAGGCGCTGGAAAGCAGTGACAGATGCTCCCCACATTGGATGCCGCAGGTTGTTACATGTGCCATCGTAGGTACGGTAACGCTGGTGGAAACAAATGTCTGAGCAGTTAGGTGTCCGCCTGTGAGCAGAGCAGCCCGAGATGTTGGCAATCATCCTGATGTAGTGTGGGGACACCAGGTCCCTATAGTGATAACCTGTATGGAGTAAAACTGAAAAGGTTATAGACTCACACAAACAAAAACTGCTGTTTACAATGGACACAAGCTTCCCATCCAAATACAAAATAAATGTTGCCCAAAAAATTACAATTGGGTAGTTGGGATATAACTAAATGCCATTCACTCTTAATATGTATTATAAACTGGACCTCCCTGCAACTTACTCTGTAGTTTACCAAGGCAACCTGGTCCAGGACCCACTGGACATTATAGAAGCAGAAGCACACTGATGAGGTCACCCCTGTGACCATAGCACAGTTAGACCAATAGCAAAGCAATTGAGCCCTCATTGGCGTCCCAGTGTGAGTGATGTGGTGCATGTGTGCATGTGGTATACCTCTATGGAGTTTCATTTAACCAGTTGTGGACATTAGGCTAAACACACCACACGAGCAACATCGATCTAGATCAGACCAGTTCATTAAGATCACTGTCCTACCTGTGCTGTTCAAATCTTCTGGCAAGCCTTGCTGCACATGTTCCTCTATCAGTTCAAGGGTCCTCTCCAGGATCTCTGCTGCTCGAACAGTTTCGATGGCCTGAGGGTCCCGGGGGTAGCGGGCCAGGGCAAAGAGATCACTGGGTGACTTTGGTAATCTGCGTAAAGATAATGGTCTCATTTTTGTAGGATGCGCCATGCCATAGTGTTCTACCATGACATCAATGGACAGAAGTTTATGTTAAAGAGGCCCTGTATTGGGGAATTCATGCACAAAAAGGTAAACAGAAAGACAAAAACTAGTCACTAGTTTTGCCTGTCTCGCTGCAGCGGACATCTTCCCCATCCATGATAATGTAATATGCCTTGAGCCACACTGCATATCCGAGAGGAAGAGGAGAAGCTCTTTGCTTCATCACATCAGAGCTATTACCTAGATTGCTGGTGGTCTGATAATGAATGAACAATCAAGAGGCAGCAAGAGAGGAAGGACAGCTTCACTGAATGGAAGAAATGGAAGCACAGAGATCCTTGCACTGAAGGTCATTAGGTACAGTTTCCCCTCCAGCAAGGAGAGCAGTGAGCAGCACAGTAGTGACCTCTCCCAATCTCACTCCAGATCTGGTGAGACTAGAATTTAGGGGCAGCAGCGCCTTAGTTCCTCACATTGCAGATGGATGTCTGAGCCTACAAAACAGGAATGCCTAGGTACAGGAAATGCTTTGCAATTTTTCAGGTGGAATTCAAGACAAAAGATCAATTTTTAGAGTAATGGGGCATTTCTAGACGTTGCTTATAGCAAATCACTTTTTGAGTTCGGGCTCATTTTAATATGCCATTGGCACTCAACACAGGAGATTTGGTCTTATTTTAGTGGGACCAGGCCACATACAACTTTACTATTTCCTCATAACAAGCCGAGAACCAGCTATGGCAAATTAATTGACAAAAGTAAAAAAAATAAAACTATAGGTAGTATATTGAATATGAATAATAGAGCACATAGTATTCTCAAAAGCTTACAGTTATCAAGAGGTGGTTTATGAATGGCGTTTTGAGTGAATTGGGGGTAATATAAATATCTCACCAGTAGGAGAGAACTTTTGGGCATGATAACCAGATATGTAGCTATGAACATGGATCTGATCTGCCCCTCCAATAAACATAGTATTTACACTACAATAACATTTGGCTCGGTCTGTTGGAACACCATCTGCTCAGAATTTTATGCTGAATTTCTCAGAGTTCTCCGTTCCTATAAACAGAACTGAGATTTTTCTTTCCTTTTGCATAAAAGCCTTTCTCTGAGCCAATTACCATTTGGAGATCCAATTCCCTTTTGGAGATTAAAAGAAAAAAGTAAATTGTTGATGTTTTAAAAGTTGTTTTAACAACTGCAGGATTTATTGCAGCCCATCGATGTACCCTGCCAATATAAAACTATGCTATAGCCATACATTTTTGTTTTACTAACTTCTTCTAACTTCTGTATAACTTGTATAATATTGTTTGCAATTTACACTAATTATGTATTGAGTTAAACAATATACAAGTGTCATCAATATTGTCAACTTCCTTCCTGTACTGATTTAAATGAGAGAGGAAAACAACCACATATGTTGATTACATAAATGATTAAAAGAGCTGCCCAGGCAAGAGTGGATCTTCCATACCTAAGTAGTGTATAAAGCTAATGAACTGGTGCCTAAAAGTGAATTCTTCTTCTGGGTACCCACTGGGTATGATCCCTCCCCTGCTGAGCATTTATGAGCAAGTCCTCCCCCACAGTGCAGTTACAAGTAGTCCATACTCCATTCCGCAGCTACGAGTGATCCCTTCCCTGCTAAGCAGTTATCAGCAATTCCTCCCCTGCTGAGCAGCTTCAAGTGATCCCTCCCTTGCTGAGCAGTTATGAGCAAGTTCTCCCCTGCTGAGCAGTTATGAGTGATCCCTCCCTCTCTGTGCAGTTACAAGTGGTTCATGGCCCACTGAGCAGCTACAAGTGATCCCTTCCTTGCTGAGCAGTTATGAGAGAGATTCCTCCCCTGCTGAGCAGTTACAACTGATCCCTTCACTGCTGAGCAATTAAGAGTGATTCCTCCTCCTCAGTGGGGGATCCATCCCTCACTGAGCAGTTACGAGTGATCCCTCCCCTGCTGAGCAGTTACAACTGATCCCTCCCCTGCTGAGCAGTTACAACTGATCCCTCCCCTGCTGAGCAGTTACAACTGATCCCTCCTCCTCAATGGGGGATCGATCCCTCAATGAGCAGTTAGGAGTGATCCCTCCCCTGCTGAGCAGTTACAACTGATCCCTGACCTGCTGAGCAGTTACAACTGATCCCTCCCCTGCTGAGCAGTTAAGAGTGATTCCTCCCCTGCTGAGCAATTAAGAGTGATTCCTCCTCCTCAGTGGGGGATCCATCCCTCACTGAGCAGTTACGAGCGATCCCTCCCCTGCTAAGCAGTTACAACTGATCCCTCCCCTGCTGAGCAGTTACAACTGATCCCTCCCCTGCTGAGCAGTTACAACTGATCCCTCCCCTGCTGAGCAGTTACAACTGATCCCTCCTCCTCAGTGGGGATCCATCCCTCACTGAGCAGTTACGAGTGATCCCTCCCCTGCTGAGCAGTTACAACTGATCCCCCCCATCCCTGCTGAGCAGTTACAACTGATCCCTTCCCTGCTGAGCAGTTACAACTGATCCCTCCCCTGCTGAGCAATTAAGAGTGATTCCTCCTCCTCAGTGGGGGATCCATCCCTCACTGAGCAGTTACGAGCGATCCCTCCCCTGCTAAGCAGTTACAAATGATCCCTCCCCTGCTGAGCAGTTAAGAGTGATACCTCCTCCTCAATGGGGGATCCATCCCTCACTGAGCAGTTACAAGTGATCCCTCCCCTGCTGAGCAGTTACAAGTGATCCATCCTCTGTTGTTGTAAATCTCTCTCTGCTGAGCGATTGCAAAGGATTCCTCCCCAACTAAGTCACAAGTAATTCATCCCTTGTGGAGCAGTCACAAGTGATCCCTCCTTTACCAACACTTCCAAGTGATTTCCCACTGAGCAGTAACAAAAGACTGCCTGTCTCCGAAGGGGCAACCATCTGTAGGAATAAACACTTATCAAAGTGTCTGAAATAAAAGCTGCTTCATGCTGTACTACCGCACCTCAACTCAAGCCCATACTTTTTATCACCGACTAAAATTTCCACAGCTTGAATCTGATTGGTTGCTGTGGGGCAACACTAACAGTTCCTATCTTTGACACAGCACTGGTGCTTGCACAAGGAAGGGCTTCTTACCTACAGGGCAGCCACCTGTACCAGTGAGACTCCTCACCTGCTGAACAGGTATCTGTGAGTGGCGTTGAAGCTGCTGTTGACGCTTTGGATGGCTTCTCGCAAAGACATCTCCACAAAGGCATCCCCGATTCGTGTCGTATCTGGGGAGGCGCAGACAATCCGTCACAGTTTTCATCATTTGCATAGGAAAAAAATTACAAAAGACAGCAGTGTTATGTGTATTGCAGAGTCCATATGATTACAGGACTTTGTATTTGCATGGTTTTGTAGATCTCCAAAAAAGTACACAAAACCTTGACACAAGACACATTTAGCTGGCTTAGGCCTAGGTTGCCTACTCACAGAGCGTACTTACCTTGTGGCTGCACATACAGCTGGACCGGCACAGAACTGACCCCCATAGAGCTGGTGGCATGACAGTGATATTGCCCGCTATCCTTTATCACAGCCCTCTGGATATAGAGCGTCCCCGATTCCAGAACGGTGTGCCGCCCATCATTTGGCAGTTCTTCTCCTAATGACACAAAACCAGACATAGCGTGGATGAATTTAAAACTTCTGATGAGAATCATTTGGCAAAAAAAAATTAAAAAAAGCTATGCTTTCAGTCTGTATTTTTGTTGAAAATTTTCATTGACATCCTGTCAGATGAGACCGTTGTCACCGTCACGGGAGGAGAGGAGGAATTTCTCTAACAGAGCCCAGATAGAAGTAAAATCAGGACAGTCACTCTATCCAAAAACTAATCACTTTGGTATGAATTGCCTACTTTTGATAGCAGAGAGAATACTTTTTTTTTTTGCAAGAAATATTTCCAAAAGAGAGTCTCATTTGTTTCCTCCACCCAAATTGATAGAGCGTTCTTACCTTACTCTATTCTACAAAGATTTTTTTTTTCTTTTATTGAAAGGCCAGTTCTCTGAATAGGAGTGGATATTTGTTCCATTGATCAGAAGCGATTGACGAAATTCCTCTACGGTCGATCATTGTGGCAGGGACAAAATAGAATAATAGCGCACTAGATTGATGGAATGGAGGGTCTTTGGTTTTTGATTTGTATTCAATGCGATCACTTTATTCGCATTCAAATGATTGATTGATTATATTGATAGGTATGTGACTTCCATGAGTGAGATGAGAGGAGATGATGACCTCAGGCTCTAGTAGTCCATACAAAGACTTTCACTTCGAGTCTTTTAAGGACACCAGAAGCTGTCATGAATTTGCACCCCACTGAGGTCTGGCATCTGTGCAAGGCTTGGCAGAGAAGAAACCCAACCAACCAGCGATCAGCTGAGCCGGGCTCTCTGCCAAACCTGGCGGCAGAATAATCAGAGGAATTATCACATGACAAAAGAGGTTATCCGCACAATTTGGACTTCCTACTGTTCATATGGAGGCCAAATCACACGTGACAATACAACTTCATGTCATTTAATTCCAGCACTGAATCCTTCAAACAAAACACTACCAGAGACATGTTTTTGGCTTTGAAAACCAAGGCACCCATATCAAACTAAAATCAAGGGGGGAAAACGGATTTTTGCAGGAGATGGTAAAATGTGAAACACTATCAAGCGTTGCATCATTCATTGTTTTAAATCGATGATTGATGATTTGCAATCATTCGTATCTAAAGTGATCACACTTGTTTACCTTAAAGATAAACTCTGGGAATTGGAATATAAATGTACCCCCGCAGTTAATGCACCCCCCTCGCATTTCATAGTTACATAGTTAGTCTGGCTGAAAAAAAAGACAAAAAAGTCCATCCAGTTCAACCATAAAAAAAAAAAAAATTCTTAATCCTACACCCACAGTTGATCCAGAGCAGGGGTGGACTGACAACTCATGGGGCCCCTGGGCAATAGGGGATCATGGGGCCCCTGTGTCCTTGTCCAAACTCAAAAAAGCCTATGAAAAAGGTACCAGGGGAATCTCATGGGGCCCCCTACTGACCCCGGGCCCTTGGGCAGCGCCCGAGTTTCCAAATGGTCAGTCCACCCCTGATCCAGAGGAAGGCAAAAAAAACCCAGCAAAGCATGATCCAATTTGCTTTCTGCAGGGAAAAAAATTCCTTCCTGATCCCCCCCTCGAGAGGCAATCGGATATTCCCTGGATCACCTTTACCTATAAATGTTATATCCAGTTATATTCTGTGTATCCAAGAAAGAATCCAGGACTTTCCTACAGCAATCCACTGAGCTGGCCACAACCAACTCTTGAGGGAGTCTATTCCACATTTTCACAGCTCTCACTGTGAAGAAACCTTTCCATGTTTGGAGATTAAATCTCTTTTCCTCCAGATGTAAAGAGCGCCCCCTTGTCCTCTGTGATGACCTCAGGGTGAATAACTCTACACCGAGGGTTTGTTTAGTTTAGGGGTGCTAATGGTGTAAAACGTGCCTTACGTTATTCCAATAATTCCAATATTATTCTCAATCTGTGTGACAGATCCAGCACTGCTGCCTGCCTAAGCCGCTCTCAGCCGTGGTTGCAAAGCTTGCCTCCTCCATGCTCATTGCAAGGTTAATAGCCTCGCACTATAAATGAAGATGTTGAGGGACCCCCTGCAGTTTGCAGCTTGAGGACAGCACTGAAGTCTCCTGGAGCGAGGGATGGGGTAAGAAACAAACCTTTCCATGCACCCCTAGACTAAACGCAGAACTTAACCCTTGCAGTGCTTGGTGGTTCACTAGAGGGGGGCAACTGCAGGGGAATATTTAGTCTAAACCCCATAGAGGGGGGCAACTGCAGAGGTATATTTTGTCTAAACCCCATAGAGGGGGGCAGCTGTAGGGGTATATTTTGTCAAAACCCCAAAGTTCAGCTTTAAAAAATAACCCCGGTCCAGATCAGCACAACTTGTTTTGTGACTTGAGAATTCAGTCACATGACACATGACAAGTCGCAGCGAATTTGAAAAAAAAAATTTCTATACTATTTTATGTGCAATTTCATTGTGACTAGCATTGACCACTGTTCAATGAAGCCACACTGACTTTCAGCAAGCCGCAATGAAGTTGCACTGAATAGTTGTCTTTAACCACCTCCCGTCCGGCCGTTGTAAATAAACGGCCAGACGGTGGCACTGCAGGGTTGGGTGGCACTTTATAAACGGCCTCCCTGCACCCTGATGGTGCGCGCTCCCTGGGAGTGTGCAGCACCGCAATCCGGTGCCCGCTGTGTCCTCCGGACACAGTGAAACACCGATCGTCAGACGGGACCTCTGTACGAGGTCCCGATCATGTGATCGCTAATTGGCCAATCAGTGATCACATGCAAAGTAGTAAGCAAGATGTCACTTGTGACATCATTGCTTACTACATGTGAAATCTGTGAATGATCACAGAGGTCACATGGTACAGGGCTATTCACAACAGCCTTGTACCATGTGACAAGCTGTGACCAATCACAGCTCACTCAGTAGTTCTCAATGGCTGCAAGAATGCAGAGAGAAGGAGAAATGATTGCTTTACATCCTATATGGGTGTAAAAGCAATCAGTGTAAAAAAAAAAAAATATATATATCACCCCCGACAAGTAGTACAGTGTCCATGGTGACACTGTACTGCTAGGGTGACCGTATGTAAAAAAAATAAAAATAAATAATATAAAAAAATAAAATAAAAATAAAAAAAAATGTTTAAAAATTAGAATTATTTTTTTTTTAACTAATTTGGCTTTTTTTTTTTTACTAAAAAGATAACAGAATACATTTTGGCCAAGATTTATGATGAAATATTATTTATTTGCAAAATTTTATAAGAAAAACACTTTTTTTCAAAATTTTTGGACATTTTCATTTACATAGCAAAAAAATAAAAATCCCAGTGGTGAATAAATACCACCAAAATAAAGCTTTATCGGTCTAAAAAAAAATGGTAAAAAATTCATATGGGTACAGTATTGCATGACCGCGCAATTGTCATTCAAAGTGTGATAGCTCTGAAAGCTGAAAATTGCCCTGGACAGGAAGGGGGTGAAAGTGTCCGGACAGAAAGTGGTTAAAGTTGCGCAAAGTATGCGACTTCAAAGCTGCACTGGGGTGAACCAGGGCTAAGTATGAGATAGTTTTGGTAGAGCAGCAGAGGTGCCCCAGTAGGATGTGAACATGTGAGCTGATAGGTTAGGAGGAACTCCTGTGGGATTTGGGGAAATTTTAAAAGAAGGGTGTTGGGAGGGGGTTGTTGATTGATTGGATACGGGATACGGCTTAGCATGATGTGAAAACAAGGCATTGTGCACGCACCCTGTAATAAATGGATGGCCTCATTCAGATCACTCCAAGGATTTTCATCATGGTAAAAATGTAGGGCTTGATACCACCTGGCAACACGCCTGCAGACGTAAATAGGGTCATGCCGCAATTTAATGGATGTGTTTGCGGCACAATGAAGAGGGATATCAGTGTGAAGTCCCACTTGAAATTGGCACGTGAGAAGAGGCACATCGCTTCCTGACTGCCTGCTAACTGTGGGCCAGCTGCTGCTGATGAAGTGATCAACCCCAGATCACGGGTTGGAAGCATCATCCATGGGAAAGGGGCCCTACTGCCGACTTAATAGACCCACCCTAAAAATGTCAAGATTGCTCTGGTCCATGTGTACAGGTGCAGGGTCTGAGCTGGTTAAGAAGGTCCTTCTGGGAAGGTTACAATAACCAAGGTGGGGAAGGTGAGGGTCTTACCATCTTTAGTCCAGGTTATGACCGGAGCTGGTCGCCCATTGGCAGAGCAAAGAAATTCGACATCCTGGCCTTCAGTCACTGTCTGGTCTTTGGGAACCACGGAGAACGTCTGTGGATCTGAAAGTGAAGTGAGGAAATCAGAGGATCCAAAACACAAAACAAAAAGCTGTTCTACCATTTAGATCAGGGATGCTCAACCTGTGGTCCATGGAGCCCTCTGATGTGGCCCACGGAGCCCGCTGATGTGGCCCACGGAGCAATCTAATGTGGCCCACGGAGCCCTCTGATGTGGCCCACGGAGCAATCTGATGTGGCCCACGGAGCAATCTGATGTGGCCCACGGAGCAATCTGATGTGGCCCACGGAGCAATCTGATGTGGCCCACGGAGCAATCTGATGTGGCCCACGGAGCAATCTGATGTGGCCCACGGAGCAATCTGATGTGGCCCACGGAGCCCTCTGATGTGGCCCACGGAGCCCTCTGATGTGGCCCACGGAGCCCTCTGATGTGGCCCACGGAGCCCTCTGATGTGGCCCACGGAGCCCTCTGATGTGGCCCACGGAGCCCTCTGATGTGGCCCACGGAGCCCTCTGATGTGGCCCACGGAGCCCTCTGATGTGGCCCACGGAGCCCTCTGATGTGGCCCACGGAGCCCTCTGATGTGGCCCACGGAGCCCTCTGATGTGGCCCACGGAGCCCTCTGATGTGGCCCACGGAGCCCTCTGATGTGGCCCACGGAGCCCTCTGATGTGGCCCACGGAGCCCTCTGATGTGGCCCACGGAGCCCTCTGATGTGGCCCACGGAGCTCTCTGATGTGGCCCACGGAGCAATCTGATGTGGCCCACGGAGCAATCTGATGTGGCCCACGGAGCACTCTGATGTGGCCCACGGAGCACTCTGATGTGGCCCACGGAGCCCTCTGATGTGGCCCACGGAGCCCTCTGATGTGGCCCACGGAGCCCTCTGATATGGCCCACGGAGCCCTCTGATGTGGCCCACGGAGCAATCTGATGTGGCCTACGGAGCCCTCTGATGTGGCCCACGGAGCAATCTGATGTGGCCCACGGAGCAATCTGATGTGGCCCACGGAGCAATCTGATGTGGCCCACGGAGCCCTCTGATGTGGCCTACGACCACAAACCAGGAAAGTGCATGCCTGGGGTTGACAACCCATTGATGGCGATCTGGGCTTCCGACCCACCATCCCAAAGCATCACAATGCAGTGAGGGACCAGGCGGCCACAGAAGCCGCGTAAGCTGATGCTTCCTCTGTAGCGCCAGCTCCTGTCCCAGATGGAGCGATACCAACTGCACTTCACCCGAAAACTTTCTAGCAGCCTTGAGAACGATGCCAGCCGCAGCTGCAAGAGCTGCAAAAAAGCTCAATGTATTAAATATCACATACACGGGGCATAACAGCTTTGCCATTGGGCATATTAGTACCTATAAAAGGCTGCTTTCCCAGTGATCTGCGGGTGCAGCGCAGTGCACCTGCGGCTTTCCTGCAGGTTAGTTGCAGTGGGCCATAGACTTTTATTATATCTCGCGAGTTTGGTGTGCTTTCAGAAAGTGCACCACACCCGCAAGACGTAATAAAAGTCTATCGCAAAGCGGAGCTAACCCGCAGGAAAGCTTCAGGTGTGGTGCAGGTAACCTTCATCGCATCAATGTGAAAGCTGCCTTGTAGGGGGCTCAGGACAGAAAGGGCTCATTTACATTTGAGGTTTGGGGGGGGGCAGCCCCCATAGTTCATTGTGGTCCGTGACCAGTTATAAAATCACTTAAGTGGCTCTCACTGTTCCAAAGGTTGAGCAACCCTGATTTACAAGAAGACCAGATATAAAGAACCAAAGCTAAACCAGGGGGGCTCTGTGACCTTTCCTGGCTATTCCTAATGCACCGGGAATACTGTATGTATGTCTCCACATCAATCATTTGTTTTATGGCCTTGTATTTGCTCACCTTGTACGATGATGGACGCCGAGGCCTGTATGCTGCCCTCGCTGTTGCTGGCATGACAGTGATAGAGCCCCTGGTCCGCGGTGGTGACATTCTGGATGTACAGACCTCCAGAGCTGGTGACGGTAAAGCGCCCGTCATTGGGAATCGCTTCCCCATTTTCCGCAGTCCATGTAATTTTTGGCTGAGGATCCCCAGACACGCCGCACTCCAGGGTGACGCTTCCATCTACGAGTGCCTCCGTGGTTTGGGGATGGATTATAAACACTGGCTTCGCTGAGAAGGAAGAAAGACATGCGTAAGTAACTTCCATGGCAGGGCAGTCAGCCACCTACAGATCACATTGGAATGATGTACTGTCCGGATAAAAGCAAAGTAGTTGGACAGCTCACACAAAGACTGCTACCAGGGAAGTTCTAACCCCGTCCCTTGACTTTGCACATGGGTGAAAAACTCCCTGCGCAAATACTCCCACCATCTCTGCCAGGACATGAAGGCTGGCCAGAGCCTGTCGGAGGATCTGCGCATGCGTAACTATGGTGGTGCCAGAGGAGACGGGGCAAAGCCTGTACACAGCGGGACTGAGATTCCATTCAGACTGGCCATTAAAATGAATCTGAGACAGATGTCTGTATTACTAACCTTTGTTATGCAGTAAAAAGAACCTCTTGCTTGTATTGCTGCTCTAAATCACCATGACGTGGTCTCTGCCTGCCAAAATCAGAGTGGATCTTTCACCTCATTAGAGAACCCATGAGAAATATCATTTTGGGTGCACCTGCGTTTTTAGGCGATTCATAAATATCGAAGCTGTTCTACTCACAGTGGCTGCCAGAGTAGCGCAAGACCGCCTCTTGAGTGCGCGCCTCCCCGGCGATGTTTTTGGCCGCACACTGATAGACCCCTTTATCCGACTCCTGCGTGTTCTGGATCATCAGCGTCCCATCGTTCAACAGATGCAGTCGCCCATCGTAACTCATATCAATCTCATTGCTTGAGGGAAAGAGAGTCGGTTAGGAACGTGAAAATGCATTTACCTTCATTACAAATTTCCTTCATCACCACCAACGTTTAAAAAACATTTTCATAAAATGTGGTCTCTCGGTGCCCTGTAGTACATACACATGGATATGTATGTAGATTAGAAGACAAACGCTCACTGGATCCTCTTACAAATCTAGTTCATTCTAAGAATATCGAAGTGAAAATTTTAATTTCTAATTTCAGATAGAGTTGGATAAGTGTATACCCATGCACAGTCGTACCCCCTAATTCATTTGGACAGGTGGCTATATGCAACACCTATGGCTTCTGGGCACCCAAATACGGAGGTATTTTCCAATATATGACCTCATAAACCATATATATATATATATATATATATATATATATATATATATATATATATATATATATATATATATATATATATATATATATATATATATACCATATATATATATATATATATACACACACACATATATACACCCAACACATAATTACATACACACAAAATGTACATATCCATACATAACACACACCCCCCCCTAATACTATACAAACATAAATACATACACACACACACATAAATACATACACACACACACACACAATACATACATACATACACACACACACACACACACACACACAACATACATACATACATACACACACACACACATAAATACATACATACATACATACATACATACACACATAAATACATACACACATACATACACACACACATACACAAACATAAATAAATACACACACACACACACACACACACAATACATACATACATACATACACACAAATACATACATACATACACACACACAAATATACATGCACACACACACACACACACACAAAATACATACACACACACACACAAATACATACATACACACACAAATTACATACATACATACACACACACACACACACACACACACACACACACACACACACACACACACATACACATACATACACACACACACACACACACAAAAATACATACACACACACAAACATAAATACATACACACACACACACACACACACACACACACAAAAATACATACACACACACACACACACACACACAAAATACATACACACACACAAACATAAATACATACACACACACACACACACAAAAACATAAATACATACATACACACACACACATAAATACATACATACACACACACACACACACACACACACACACATACATACACACACACACATAAATACATACATACACACACATAAATACATACACACACACACATACATACATACGGCACCGGGAAGTAAATTCTCACCAATCTCTGCATATTCACACATGGCAGCTACCTAAGGAGGGCTTCTTGATCACAAGTGCTCTACATCTGACCACATGACGGGGTAAATCCTCATTAAAGTAGGCAAAACGTTTCATGTTGGATAAACTAAGGGAGGATTTTATAACCACTGCCAGATTTTTATTTTTATATATATATCTCCTCAATGTGATTCTCCACATGATCACGCCCCCATGTGGTGAAACGCGTTGGTTTTCTTCGGTGTTTTTTTTTTTTTTTTTTTAATAGAGACATTATGGCTGCATATCTATTGAGGAAGATCCAATAAAGTGACTGGAGTGCGGTTCCTATTATTCTACTATCATCCCGTGACAAGTAAAGATGGGCTTTTAGAAACAGCACCCAGGTTCCGGAGATCAAACGAAGCAGCAGGTCCATAGTGGAGTGTCAGGACTGGGACACCTCGAACACTCACTTGTTGTGTATCCATCTGATGTCAGGTTTGGGATTCCCCTCGGCTCGGCAGATAAAATAAACCGTATTCCCAAGGACGATGTCGGCATCTCTGGGCTCGGATATAATTCGAGGCATCTCTGGAGGAAAGGAGACCAAATTATAGGGCATGCTGACATTTGGGGTGAAGCAAGCCTTTCAGTTTCTGCAATGGTAAGAGGAATCAGCAATTGTAGGTGGTTTCTGAGCCCCAAATACTTAAAGCAAATCCTTTATACTTTAATTTTGGATGGAGTAAACGTTTTCGAGCCCCTGAACCGAAGCCTTCAGCTCACCGCAGTTAAACTGATCCGCAGGGAGGGAGCTCACAGACTTCCCTCGCAGAGGCGTTGGATGTTCGCACATGGCGGCAGTCAGCGTGCTGCTCCTCTCCGTGAACGTCTTCAGAAGGTCCCCCAGCCACACCAGCTCACAGTCACACACCAAGGGATTTGAGTCCAGGCGCCTGGACGCACACAGAGACAAACGGTCAGAGATCCTTTCTGGTGCAGCTCTAAATTTACAATATGCACTCCAGGCTATGGGATGTCATTAAGGAACTCCAGGGACATTCAGAGAATCTCTCTTACCTTTAGCTATTTTAATACTAACACACACTAGACTAAGTGTGACTAAATGGTTAGCACTTCCACAGCACCACCTGCCTGGAGTTTGCATGTTCTCCCTGTGCCTGCGTGGGTTTCCTCTGGATACTCCGGTTTCCTCCCACACTCCAAAGACATGCTGGTAGGTTAACTGGTTCCCTGTCTAAATTGGCCCTAGTATGTGTATGTATGAATGTGAGTTAGGGACCTTAGATTGTACACCCCTTGAGGGTTAGGGACCTTAGATTGTACGCCCCTTGAGGGTTAGGGACCTTAGATTGTACGCCCCTTGAGGGTTAAGGACCTTAGATTGTACGCCCCTTGAGGGTTAGGGACCTTAGATTGTACTCCCCTTGAGGGTTAGGGACCTTAGATTGTACGCCCCTTGAGGGTTAGGGACCTTAGATTGTACGCCCCTTGAGGGTTAGGGACCTTAGATTGTACGCCCCTTGAGGGTTAGGGACCTTAGATTGTACGCCCCTTGAGGGTTAGGGACCTTAGATTGTACGCCCCTTGAGGGTTAGGGACCTTAGATTGTACTCCCCTTGAGGGTTAGGGACCTTAGATTGTACGCCCCTTGAGGGTTAGGGACCTTAGACTGTACGCCCCTTGAGAGGTTAGGGACCTTAGACTGTACGCCCCTTGAGGGTTAGGAGGGTTAGGGACCTTAGACTGTACGCCCCTTGAGGGTTAGGGATCTTAGACTGTACGCCCCTTGAGGGTTAGGGACCTTAGACTGTACGCCCCTTGAGGGTTAGGGACCTTAGACTGTACGCCCCTTGAGGGTTAGGGACCTTAGACTGTACGCCCCTTGAGGGTTAGGGACCTTCGATTGTACGCCCCTTGAGGGTTAGGGACCTTCGATTGTACGCCCCTTGAGGGTTAGGGACCTTCGATTGTACGCCCCTTGAGGGTTAGGGACCTTCGATTGTACGCCCCTTGAGGGTTAGGGACCTTCGATTGTACGCCCCTTGAGGGTTAGGGACCTTCGATTGTACGCCCCTTGAGGGTTAGGGACCTTCGATTGTACGCCCCTTGAGGGTTAGGGACCTTCGATTGTACGCCCCTGGAGGGTTAGGGACCTTCGATTGTACGCCCCTTGAGGGTTAGGGACCTTCGATTGTACGCCCCTTGAGGGTTAGGGACCTTCGATTGTACGCCCCTTGAGGGTTAGGGACCTTCGATTGTACGCCCCTTGAGGGTTAGGGACCTTCGATTGTACGCCCCTTGAGGGTTAGGGACCTTCGATTGTACGCCCCTTGAGGGTTAGGGACCTTCGATTGTACGCCCCTTGAGGGTTAGGGACCTTCGATTGTACGCCCCTTGAGGGTTAGGGACCTTCGATTGTACGCCCCTTGAGGGTTAGGGACCTTCGATTGTACGCCCCTTGAGGGTTAGGGACCTTCGATTGTACGCCCCTTGAGGGTTAGGGACCTTCGATTGTACGCCCCTTGAGGGTTAGGGACCTTCGATTGTACGCCCCTTGAGGGTTAGGGACCTTCGATTGTACGCCCCTTGAGGGTTAGGGACCTTCGATTGTACGCCCCTTGAGGGTTAGGGACCTTCGATTGTACGCCCCTTGAGGGTTAGGGACCTTCGATTGTACGCCCCTTGAGGGTTAGGGACCTTCGATTGTACGCCCCTTGAGGGTTAGGGACCTTCGATTGTACGCCCCTTGAGGGTTAGGGACCTTAGATTGTACGCCCCTTGAGGGTTAGGGACCTTAGATTGTATGCCCCTTGAGGGTTAGGGACCTTAGATTGTACATTGAGGGTTAGGGACCTTAGATTGTACGCCCCTTGAGGGTTAGGGACCTTAGATTGTACATTGAGGGTTAGGGACCTTAGATTGTACGCCCCTTGAGGGTTAGGGATCTTAGATTGTACCCACCTTGAGGGTTAGGGACTAATGTGAATGTACAATATATATGTAAAGAGCTGCATAAATTGACAGCACTATACAAGTACCTGAAATAATAAATAATAATAAAAAACTCTGTCTGGTGGTGGCAGAACTGGCTGTATAAGCTGATGGTACAAGGGGGTTACTTATGTGGGGTTGGTGGCAGCAATATAGTGAGGGGGTGGGGCAGTGGCACATCAGCAGAATGCATAGTACAGGTAGGAGGAATCATGGGAAATCATGTACACTGCAAATCTTTTGCCACTTGTATTTTAAAGCTGCTATTTAGCAGTTGGGGGTGGAGGTGCCCATTAGGACATACTCCTTTGGGGTAACAAACATTCAACTTACAGACGAGTCAATGATGGAAGCTGAGAGAAGGTCCCGGACTGAATCCTGGAAATCCGGTTATTGTGGAGGAACCTGCCGAGGGGACACGACGTGAATTCAAAGCCAAAGTAATAGAACAACTTACAAGGCCTGAACCACTGCAACCACTTACAGTCTCTCCAGTTTCGGCAGATCCCCAAAAGTGTTGACGTCCAGAGCCTCCAGGTTGTTGAAGTGGAGATACCTGGAAGAGGGGAAGACAGATACAGTGGATGGGTTTGGTGAACGTCATGTCTACCAGGCTATGACAGCAGCAGAACTTTGATATGCATCTACAACGACCACACAACATGACGAGGAAATATTACGCAAGTGAAAAATTGGCGACGGACAGAAAAAAGGGTCAAATTTTTGTTTCTGTGAATGTCCACTAGTCTACAAAGGCCCAACTCCACTTTACAAAAAAGGATGTTGCAGAACTGGACCTCTTGTGCAGAGAAGGGCAACCTAAAGTGTATCGAAACCCAAAGTTTTGGACAGAGTAGGGAAGGGTTAAAACCCATCAGTCTACTTTTTATGTGTCCTATTGGAGATGCAACAAAGGAAATGAGAGGAAATCTCTAAAAAGGGAGACAGTTGCCAACCCCTCCCCCCCCCCCCCCCCCCCCCGGGAAGATTTATCCATGCCTTTTGATCTGGTGACAATTTTAAAATTCTAGATTTCTTATCACTTTCTATTTGGTGATAATGCCTACCAGTATGAAAAGAGATGGGCTCCATACAAAGGGGACAAAGACAACAGCAAAAATTTTATTTTTTTAATTCTTCCTGTCTGATTGATCAAGTCTTCTCTGATCCTCCCCTTCTTTCACTGTCCCCAATCCATCTGCTGATAGTACAGAGCTCTAGAAGTCACTCTGCACATGCTCAGTTTGGTGTGTACTACTAAAAAGTTTATTTTTCTATGGGGAGGGTGCATGTGATCAGCACAGGGCCAATCCAGCACTGTCCAGACAGAGGGTCGGGGTTCATGCAGCCTCATAAAACAAACCATCAGAGCAGAATGAAAACTCTTCTTACAAGAATAACCAGTTCTCAGTTGGACACTGACAGTAGTCACAAGACTGCTATATACTGCTGATGCGAAAAGGTATTTAGTAGTTTATATTTACTACAATAATTGCATTTCCATGTGCTGTGCACTGTGGGAGACCGGATATATTTTAGTAACACTTTAAGGAAGTTTGTGAGGGTGTCAGGTTTTGGACTCTATATTAGCTACAAAAAGCGGAAGGGTGTAGGGATGAGAGACTTCGAGATGATTTTATCTTTTATTAATATGTACCAATGTGTCAAGCTTTTTCTGCCACCAATCACCTGAGAATATGAATCTAATTGGTGGCTGTAAGGAGATAACTCAAATTAACAAAAAAAAAAGCAGCCACCAATGTAGGCATAATAATAACATGATGATGACATGGTAAACGGGCAGAAGGAGCCAGACCTGAGCATAACCAGGAGGGAATGTGACTAGGAGGATCCACAGAGATTGACTAAGGGGTACAGGAGGGACTTATTCCCTGTTGGAGCAACTTGGACCATGGTTTATGGAGAAAACTCAAGTTCTTTGTAAGACCATCATAATATAGAAGGCCTTCTGTACAGTAGCAGAGAATTCTGACTGATGTAGTGTAGAGGGTGTCCAGGCACAAGTAGTATATTGAGGTGGCCTACCACCAGTCTTGCCATATGACACTAAAACTTGGGTATGGCTGAGATCAAGCTGAAAGTGGTTGAGAACGATGTTAATGCCGGTGTTGGCTGCAATACTCACAGCTGTTCCAGCGAGCCCAGTCCATGGAACGCATTCCTCTGTATGCTACCGATTTCATTCTTGTACAGGTATCTGTGGGAAGATGTAAAGGATGAAGGTTCTGGATATGTGACCATCAGTGGTAAGAATGATGTCTGCATGGAAAGACAATAGGGCGATTGAGAATGGAATGCAGTAATAGGTGTTGGCAAAGATGAAGAAGAGTGCGCTGGAGACTAGGACCTTAGTGAGACAAGGAGCTAGTATGATGAGGGGCACTACAGGAGGAAGGATGGGGTAGTAAAGGACCAAAGTAAGGTAAAGAGGGGATAGGACAGGAACTAGCTTCCTGGATAGGAGATATATGTGCATGTGTAGTATGGAAATTTAAAATCAAAGGGGGCTAGGCATAGGAAAGAAAACTAAAACAAGAAAGAAAGACAGCAAAGAGAGGTAGGTCAAGGACAAGGGAATAGGAAGGAGGGCAGGCAGAAGGAGCTGGAGATCTTGGTAAGATGATGATATGATGAGTAGAGGGTTAGCAGAGAAGTCTGGAGCCAAGGATCCAGGGAAAAGAAGAATAATCAGTGGAGCATGTGACTACAAGGACAGCAAGAAAGGGAGCCAGGAGTTGGGAGGATGGCAGAAAGAAGAAGCCACCAATTTAGGTATAATTATGACACGCAGGCAGGAGGAGCCAGAGACCTGGGGATAAC